AAAAGATTAAATCTCCCATCATGGAGATAATCACTTAAATATCTTGTTGTAATTCAAAGTCAAAACAGTTCATGAGTACATGTGATACCTCAAATCAAAGTGATGTTATTTCTGTTTTATTTGATTTTTTTATGTTGCACTTAAAATACTATTTCCAACCTAAAAACTCTACATTCATTTATCCGCTTTTTTTTTTTTTTTTTTTTACACCTGCACTATCGAGGGAAGTTTTAAATGTTTAAATGTCTGTACACGCACCAACACGGGAAATGAGTCTTGTAACGGGGTCATGAAAACACAAAGTTTCAGTGATCCAGGGCTAGGAACCTTAAGCCCCTTCATACGATCCTCATTCAGCGCACACAGAAGCGGTGTGAACTTGAGGACAGTCGAGGGGTTAATCTCGTCTACCTGCTGGAGTAACATGTCAGCTGTGTCTAAAGCACATTTGGTTAAGTTTAATGAGGGGGCTTTTCCCTCACAACCCCTACCATTTAACCCTACCACGCACAGCCGAATTTGGGACGGCAGACTTTGTTCTCCTGCCGGCCCTCACAGCAATGGCAACGGGCGGCGGGGTTGCATGGAAACCTCTTCATTACTTTAGTTGGAGAGGGGGAAACGGCTCTCCGTCCCCACCTGCTCACTAATGACACATGTAGCATCTTTGTTGCCCTCCCTGTTGACACAAAGCAGCAAGTCCTAATTTGTGTTTGTATATCGTGTGCTCACACAGTTAAAGGAGGAGGATGAGAGGCGGATGGCTAACTAATGACTCTCCATGTCCTGTAACTCCTCTGAGGACATTAAACATTAATCCATCAGTAATTTAACTGCGATGTTATTTGGACAGCCAAGGAGAACAAAAGAAAGAAAGGTTTATAAAATTCAAACACTAAGGTGATCAAAGTTTAGGATTAACTTGTTATGTTGGAGCACCATATTTATACTAGACATATCTTATATATATTTATTTATACGAGACATTCCACTTAACAGGCTTTTCATATTGATGTTAAAGGTCCTCTTCTAAAATGGCAATAAATATATTTTGTTATCTACCTATAAAAGTTCATTGTTGCTTGTTTTGAAAAACCAATCGTTTGTAAAACTCCTGTGAGCAACTTCCTCTAGTTGTGGTGATTTTGGCGCCCCCCTGTGGACAAAGCAGCACAGCCAATCTCTTTGCAGATCGTTTCTTGAACTGTTTTCTGACTAAAACAAAATCTCTTCCAGCCAAATGTTTCACTCATGAATATTTGCTGTAGGTCAGGGTTTGGTTAGCATGCATTTATTTGGTCGTCAGTCACTTGTGTCACTGATGCCTCATTTTGCTTTATTAAAAGGCCCTATGAATATTAATTGCTGTTTTATCACCAGTTAAAAAGAGCATAATGAGATGATATGTGTACGATATACTTTAGTGTCATAAAAGAGGAAAAAGCTTCCGAATACACATTTCTGTTTCTGAAATGATCAAGATTTCTTCTTTGAGGAATGACGAACTGATGTCTCAATTCAAAATTTGTTGACAACATTTTATTTACAATGCAAGTCCAAGATATGTATTTTTTCATTATTTGAATTTAGTTAAAACAGAGCTAGTCTGATAAACACACAGTATTGGTTGTGTCAATATCTTTTCCTTCACTACATCCAGTCTCAGGTGTTCAAGAGGATCAAGTGACAATGAAGCCACACTGCCACCTGCTGGAACCTTCACGTCACTACACATGAAAACCATCAAACTGATTAATATAACTGAGGGCTCCATTACAATAAGCTGTAGTACTGTAATTAACTCTTTTTTTGTCATTATTGAAGTGAAATACTTTACAGACACATTACAGAAGAGATCAATTTCTATACTTTTACTCAATTAAATTACATGACTTCTGCAGTCACAAGTAACTTAGATTCAGACAATTTCGATAAATAACATAACAAAATAAATTGTCTGATATTTTTTCATTGGTAGAACTAACCCACTATAAATATGAATGCAACACCACAACTCTTACCAGCAGCAAAATGAGATGATGTACAATTTAATACATAGATTAATATAATCCATTTTTATGTTATTCTTAAATATTCTTTGTTATTTATTTTTTTAAAGATGTTCTTAATATGCTTTTTGAAGTTTTGTCTTCATTAAAGTTTAAACTCAGGGCTTTTATATGGGTCTATCAAAGTATTTCTTTACCTCAGTGTTGCTGCTTTTAAAGTGTGTGTGTTCAGAACTTCATGGACAAATGAAGAGGCTTAGTTTAGTGAATTATGTGCAATATGAATTCTGGTGATCAGACTTAAAGAGCTCAATGTGTAGACTGGAGTATTCAGATAATTCATTATATCTGGCGTTGGCTAATGTAGCTCCACTCTGCAGAAAGTCATAGTTATTAAAAGGCTGTACAGCCGCCATCTCTGACTACAATAGTAATGTCAACAACAACAACAACAACAACAAGCTTACGGTACCTGTGTGTCCAGACGGCGGCAGGCACAGCAGACTTTACCTAAACGAAAGGAAATCGCTGTTAAACGATAAACTCTGTTCTTAGAATCCACAAGAAGCTGCAGTAAGCTCCACCTGTCCTTAAAAAACTAGTAAATGTCTCCTTCTTTAAAAAACACAGGCCGGTTATCTTCACGTCGCCCACACAGTCACATTTGTTGTGAAGAGAGCTCCCACTCCGCTGCAGTTTCCGGGTACTAAATAAGTCATTACAAATACAGGCGGGAAAGTGAGCTGTAATCACGTGGTGCCGAATTTCCTCTTCTTCGTTCTTCAATAGCGTGTGGCAACCACAGACCTCTTTGTGTATGTGGCAACAACTAGCGTTGGAGGCAACCAACTATTCTGGACTGTGGGTCAGAGTACCAATTAGGCCGACTTTTACAAGGGAGACAGAAAAAGGCCATACAAATAAACTATGTTCATTTACAAATTAATTACCAGACAAACAATACTCAAATGAGTATTAGAGTCAAAATATGTTCAAGATCGCCTACTCTCTCTAACATTTTAACAGTAATTAAACTTCCTAAATTTCATTTCTTTTATTGTATGCTGATTTTATCCATCGTTGTTTTTTAAATGATGATTGTTGTACAGTGTCCTTGTGTGTCTTTAAAGGCGCTTATAAATAAAATGTATTATTATTATTATTATTATTATTATTAATAAATGTTCCATGGCTTGAGGATCTTACCCACATAACAGTATATCATACATAAGGATTGTTTTGTTTTGTTTTAAGGTTTATGCTGTTTGGAAGTTTTTATTTTGGGTTCTGGGCTATTCTAACAATTTTCTGAATATTTGCAAACCAAGTAGGCCTACCTCAGTAAAAATTAATACTGTAAATAAATTGGCTCCCAGTGCACAACCAATTTATAGGCCTATATGGAAAATATAGTCTACACCAATGCATTTCAGAGTAACGGTCACATGGCACATTTTATCAACAACTCATTTATACTCTTAATGCTCATGCATTTAAAGATAATATTTTTTACAATTAGCATTTTGAGTAAATTGAATCTAAATTGAAAATCAACCACCTTTTATTTATTTTTTTTCAAACTACATTTCATGTCAAAGTGTCTTCAGTGGGTTTATTAAAATGGTCGACACTTGGAAACAGTGGAGGGGGGGATTTGAAATTGCTCAACCAACATGGACTGATACAATAATTATTTCATAAAGGTTTCTGATTTAACTTTTTGGGGGTCAGTTGTTTGATCATGTTGGATAATGACTTTGCATTTGACAAAAATGTGCTTCTGTTATGATCACATGATGGAAACTGATTGGACACAAGAACAGAAAGATCAGACATCTTTTCAACACATTCAACAAAAACAGCTTGCCTGAAAAACAAGGGTAAGTTTGTGACATTTAAATAACATCCAACTTAATTGTATGACTCGTTGGTCAATTTTTAGTTTCAGTCATTCATGTAATAATGCAAATGTTTGTTTTGCTTGCAATACTTGTATCTGCAGTGGAGAGCAATTCTATTTGCATTTGTTCTAACTCAATGCCTTCAGATATTTTCATGAACAGATACAACACAGATGGAGACATCTGACTAAACAAGCAAACAAACAAATGAACAAATGAACAAATATGCAGGTAGCCCATATTTAGGTTGATAAAGTACTATAGTCACATAACCACATAATATCATCAATATGCAACGAACCCTGATGTTCTGAAGCTGGTGTAGAGGAGCACTTCACTGGTTGTTAGTCTAGCATTGATTAACTTAATATGTTTCTTTCTCTCTTTTTTTAGCCTAATGAAAACAGTTTTCAGGTTGTTTTTAATTCAGATTCAGGGTTGTCGCAATAATTTCAGGATGGTTTAAAAAAAAAAACTGTATTATTGAACAGTGTGTCAATATGCATAACATTGCAAACAAATGCTCAAAATAAACAAGAACATGATATGACTTTGCATAAGTAAATTAAAATAAATTAAAATAATGTCAACTTGATAAATTATAAGATTCATCTTCCATAAGTTATTCTAAAAGTTTCACTGATTTGATGCTTTTTAAGAATACATTGAGTTTCAAAGTATTGTGTAAATTCACATTAAAGCTGTGAAAGTTGTGCTTCTATTGCAATCCTGCATTTTATTTAATACGACATTTGACATATAGGTCTACAGATTAAATGAAATGAGAGAGGTGTTTGATGATGGAGGGTCTGCATCACTTCCACTTAGAGGACTTCTGTTTCCACATGCACTATTACATAGCCTAATCCAATAGTTTCCTGCTATAAACCACTCAATTTATGCATATTCTTTTATTAAGAATTATCACAAAAACATCTAATATCAATTTTGATTATTAATAAAAATTCACCCATGTTTATCTGTTCCAAAGACTCAATTTCAAGTCCCCAGGGAGCGCTTCATTTATTTGCATACAGTAGCCTACATGCAGCCAGCAGCTGGAGCTCCAGTCTGCAGACACTGTGGACCTCTGTGTGTGTTTTTATGGGTGGAGACAAATCCTGCTCCAAAATTCAGTCACACACACTGACAACACAAGCCAGCCTAACCCAGGCAGCAGCTACTACAGGCCGGGAAAACCTGGACATTATCGGGGTCAGTAAGTTTTTAAGGTCCCGTACAGTACAGTTGGAGCAGTTTGTTTGCGTTAGAAAACAAGGTACGTGGTAATCTATGTAAACTAGATGAGGGGGTTGGTTACGGTTCTTTGATGAGAGTCAGCTATGGGAACTTCTGCAGAACAAACAGCGACAGTTCTAAGATAAAAGTGAGCCAAAGTATCTTACCAAAACACTCTTTATCAGCAAACTCCCTGACAGAGAGATTAGATATGTTAATGATCGATGTAATGGAAACAAACCTTCAAAGTGATGCTTTTGTGTTTCGGGTATGACGTGTCTGTTAGATGATTGAACACGTTAATTTAGCTTTTAAAAAAAAACTCAAGCTTTTAATAAAACTCATTTTGTGGGCTTGAAAAGTTACAACAAAGCAGTAAGCATTAAAAAAAAATCGACGAATTTTAAAACAACTGTATTTAACATCCACGTCTGTCGTGCTGTAACCGTTGTAACGTAACTGCCTGTTGGGTTTCACGTCAGCGTACGTAAACGTAAACGTAACGTGACGTAGCCTAACCGCCACAGACCTCAACGAAACAAATGCTCCAGTTTATTGCAGGCCTCCTATTTTCATACATTAAAGTTGGGAAGTAAACAAGTAGGATGCGCAGTTTCACACGGTTGTTTAGCCATTAATTCATGTCATCTGTGTACTGTACTGTACTGTACTATGAAGTTATGTCTTCATTCGTCCTTTTTTAAACTAATAAACATGACTGAGTAGGCTACTTATAAAGCCTTTGACTGAGATGAATCATAACAAGGAACAAAACCAAACAAAACAGATCAATCAATCAATCAATCAAACTTTATTTATACAGCACCTTTCAGACAAATTAAATTGCAGTTCAAAGTGCTTAACAAGGCGCAGAAAAGTTATTGACAAAAAGTAGTTTATAAAATCATTGAGAGACTAATGCACACCAATAAGAATTAAAAAAAATATGTATAAAAAGAAAAGAAAAGAAAATACGATACATAAAAGCAACAAGATATTAAAATAAATACACAAGAGGAAAATATTTAAAATTGTAGTCGGAAAAAAAGACAATACAGTAATGTTAAGATTTGATTTGATATAAAACACTATATAAAAGCCAGACTGAATAAATGAGTTTTAAGACTGCGTTTAAAAATCTCGATATTCTGGGCTCCTCTCAGACTCTCAGGAAGCTCGTTCCACAGTCTCAGAGCGTAACAGCTGAAAGCAGCATCGCCAAAGGTTTTTGTCCTGCTACAGATGGCACATTTTAAACTCCAAACTGTGCTTAAAGGTCATTTAAAGTTCAAGAGTACTCAGTAATTTGGTTTATTGGATAATCAGCACTACAGATATGTAGTCAATAACTTTAAACTTACAGTAAATGTCCTTACATGTCATCATCAGTTTAACAGCAAACACTGTGAACAGGTCTGCCTTGTTTTTTTAAGAGCAGCAGCACACCCAAATCAAGCTCTCTTATTCTCTGTTCTGTGTGCTCACTTCTGTCACATGTTTAACTGTTAACATTATAATTAATCTGTCTCTGTAGAGTCTGTGTAATATATTTTGTTTGACTCAATGTGAAAGGTTTGATGGGATAAAAACCTCAGCAGTTATGTTGTATCTGCTATTGTCCTCTCAACATACAAGTCAGCAGTAAACACAAACATAAGAGCACAGCCTGGTGTTGAACAGCATAAAGGGACATTTAAAAAACAGTTCCCTAAAGTTCTGTGTTTTTTTTCTGTGTTGCTGTATTGGTAATTAGGTCGTTTCTTTTTTTCAGAGAGATGAGTCAGGCGGAGCAGCAGGTGCCCGATGACATGCCTGCATACCTTAAAGATGAGCCAGAAGCTACAGGTAAAGGATTAATAACTGTTTGTTCAGCCCAATGTGTGCTCCACGATGAGAGATTATACTGCAGCAGCAGTCTTTCTAAGAACACGTGTAGAACAGTTGTATTGGGAATAAGGATTATTAAATGTTTAGTAATTGGCTCTATCTGAAGTATCCAGCGTCCATGAGTTTTATGAACGATTTGGTCTAGTTTGATTAGTCAATTGGCATTACTGTGAAACAACTTCATATGATGGTTCATTCAAATTCAAAAAAACTTTATTTGTCCCTAGGGGGGCAATTCAAAAGTCACCTACAGCAGTATAGCGTAACGACAGTGCAAGGTATAAGCTAAAAATATTCAACTAAAATATAAACTGTCAATTTGAATACAAAAGTTAAAATACAAAATAGATAAAGTAGAATAGAGATATAAGTGGACAGTGATTCAAGTAAAAAATGTAACTCTTTTATGATGTTTCCTTAAAAGCCTTGACTTACTAAAGAAAATAACAAGCAGGCTAAGATGTATTTATTATTGTTTTATTTTACGTTTATTTTAGTGAAGTTTATCCCATTAAGATCAGATGTACATTTGTACAGCATACAGTTTCAACAAAAACAAACATTCAAACTCGTACAGGTATAATTATCTGATGTTGTGTCTTTGTGTAAAGTGACTGCCAGATGAATTGTAGAATTGTAGGTATTAAAAAAAAAAATCTAGAAATGATCGGGCTAAAACATCTTCACACAGACTCTTTTTTTTTTTTTTTAACAATATGTTTATTGAGTTTTAAACATTTTTCCAAGACACACAATTACAATTAAATAAATTCTAAGAAAGAAAAAGAAAAACACATGCACATATATACACATTTAAAAAATAAGGGGGTAAAAGTAAAATATAATAATACAAAATAAAATAATAAATAAAAATATAATTACAAAATGTTACAAAATGATTACTGTCTGTATTAAATAAAAATAACCAAAGGGAGTACATTGCCATAGATGATTTGTTAATCACAAATATTCTGCCGAGAAAAGTTTCTGCAAAAACGACCACAATTACAGACATCACCAACTCTTTACCAGCCTCGCTCAAAATATGTGACAGATCTTTATCCCGAAGAAAATTAATACATAGGCCCCAGATATCGTCAAATAATTCTTGTTTGTCTTTAAGTGTATATGTTATCTTTTCCAGAGACATTTCATTAAACCATCGTGTAATACTCAGCCTACCACTGTTTCTCCATGTTAATGCCATTGTTCTTTTAGCCTGCAATATGCAGAGGTCTACAAAGACCCGTTTTCAAACAGTTTTTTAATTGAAAGCATAAACACCAATTTGTGTCTCTGATTCTTTGGCTGTGATGTATTGAATCTTAAAATGTTTTTTCTTGTTTTTTTTATATCAGAGAACAAGGACCACCCACAGACACAGCCGGGCATGTTTGGCAGGTTGGCAGGCGGTCTGTATGGTGTCACCAAAGGAGCTGTGGGAGCCACGGTTGGCGGTGTGACCTGGTTAGGGGGAAAGAGTCTGGACCTAACCAAGACCGCTGTGTGCTCTGTCGCTGCTGTGCCTGCGATGGGCGTGGGGCTGGTAAAAGGGGGAGTGTGCGCTGTAGCTGGAGGAGTAACTGCTGTTGGCTCTGCAGTGGTCAGCAGAGTTCCCATAGGAGGAGGAGGAGGAGGCAAAAAGAAGGACAAGTCTGACTGAAGTGGAGAAGGAGGTGTGTGAATGCACACAGCTGAGGTGTATGACTCACACTGTGAACGCCTGTTTTTTTAGCATTTATGAGCAGGAAAGGGGCGACAAAGGACTCAAAAGTTCAGTGTACACACATTTGGTGAGGGAGATTTTTTTGTCTTTAGTTTTTTATTTTTTCCATGTGACTTATGGTACACCCAGGTTCATTTGGTTATGCAGCGAGGACCTGTAAAGCAAAAACTTACAAAGAATCTGTTGGTAAAGGAAAACTCACCAAATGATTATCACCCGTGCCTGAAGTTTTTCGAAAAAAATATTCCATGTTCATTTTTTTAATAATATGCCACACCATTGTTCCCACTGCAAGCTGTTGTATTTTTTCACCTAAGTTTACTTCAGTACCAGAGAAGAAGTGTTGATGCACTTATTTCACTTGCAAGACAATCAACTGATGAATTATGAAATGTAACTGACAAGGACATGTTTCATAGGGATTGGGAATATATTTCACATGGGGGGTCAGAAAGTGTTTACAGTGTTATTAAGACTTTTCCAGACAAACACATCTGATATATACGATGTCATTTGAAAAGTGCATTCAGGTTAAATATCTAAACCGCCTGCTGGATGTGGGGGTGTAGATATTCCTCTTGTTAATTTATGTGATCATTTTTAAATTCCTCTGAATTCAACTCATCCTCTGGTGGTTCTTTTCTCAGCTCCACGGAACTGCAATCATGCTTTGGATACAGAATCACGTTGAATTAATAAATATTCCTTTCTACATCTTAAAAACTCACAGTGCTTTGATTTCAATTAATAAACTTTATTTTCAGTTGTAGTGTAAATGTACGCACTATGTAGGTAATTGAATAACCTTTTCTACACTACACTTATTTTATACCAGCTATACAGATTGATAGGCCTACTGACAAGGTGATAATGGGATCTATAAAAGTATGATATCTCCTTGGGGGGAAAAACTGCTACTGTGGACACAAAAGCATCGCTGTAGCATAGATCCCTCACGCTGTAGCAAATTGTAATGTTTTAATTCTCAGCTCGGACATACATTTAATCCTGCTCTTAAAGTCTTTCTGTGTGATTTTTCACACTTAAATATGATATAAATCAAGTATATCCTCTGAAAATAACTCTGTGAGTCATGACTGTCTACAATGGGTGTAACACCCGAGTCCCACTGTCTGTGATGTTTTCAGAGTTTTCAGAGTCCTATCTTCACTTTGTTTACATCGCCCGGACGGCTGGCTGACTCCTCCCCTCGTGTATAAAAGTTGTTTAATTGAGGGACTAGAGAAAAGAAGAATAACATACTGTACTCACTGCTTAACTGTGTTTCTAGATCACGCTCATTTCAGGTAAATTTACATGCAGTGTGAAGATACCAGCATAATAAAGATCGCTAGCATTAGCATGCTAACACAACAATGCAGCGCGAGTTGTTTTGGTTTCATGCTGGTGCTCAAGGGCGACATCTGCTGGATGAAAAAATCACATATAAAGCCTTAAAGGGTCCCTGTGTTAACTTGAGTTTTCAACTTTTTATTTGAACTGACAGACCAGTACGACTAAATTCAAGTGAAAGTGCCTTTTTTTTTCTAAAGCTACCTTTGTCTGGAAAATACCGATGCAGGGTGAAGGTATCAATGCTTTATATCAGTGTTTCAGCATATTTGGATGTGTTCTTAACTTCCAGACCTTATTGGAACAGTAACATTTTCAGAAACTGTTAAAATAAATAAAAATGTGCCGAGGGGATTCAGGGGGCTGTAAACCTACACTTTGTCTTAAAGAAGCTCCATTGCCACCTTTTAAAATGCAAATTCTTGAAAACATTTTATTATTTTGAAAACAAAAAGAGACATAAAGCCCCATTTTCACACCCTTACAAGGTACAGCTAGAATTTAGATATTTATCGTAAACTTACACATTTAACCTAATATATTTTCAATACAACAAGACCTTGGGTCAAATGGAAAAGTGACGGCTTATTGATTACAGTAAAACGTGTTAAGAAAAGTTTGTTTTATTTGCGAGGGCTCATTTATAACCAGGAGTTATTTATTATTGCCTCTTGTGTGTTAAAATTGTCTCTACAATAAATTTGGTAGAAAGTTTGCGAAGAAAATAAGATATTTACAAAACATTACAGCTGACAAAAAGTGACACAAAGTCGTCTTGATCTGTCAAGGAAATACAAGCTTGTTTAAGATTTACTGCATCATATGTTTGGCCTTCTATTTGATTTGCAAACAAAACCATGATATAAGTCTGATTAATCTCACACCAATAATAGCTCAACAATGTTATTTATTGCTTCAGTGATTTTACTTAATGTTTTCTGCCATGTTATTGACCGTGACACTCTTCGGTTCACTGCACAGCTCGGGAAAAGCTCACAGGTCCAGCAGAAACCACGACCTTTGGCCCAGCTGTCTCCTGATCCACAGCCTTGACATCTCTCTCTACAAGACAATCATACAAAACATGGTCAGATTCAACCGCATGTTGCTTTTTGAATTCTGCAGATTATACATTTATTTCTTACTTTTTCTGAAGCACAACGTTCGCATGAGTTGCCTTGAGTAGAACTGCAAACAGTTGTACTGCAGTGTATGTACACCTGAACAAGACAGAGGGTTAGCACTGCAGTTTTTCCAAAGTAACATGGCGACCACTTTCCTCTCATTTCAATCCAAGAACGGAAAGCACACAAACTCTGTTATCAAGAAGATAATGTCATATTTCTGTGACCGAGGTCATAAAACTATAAAAATGTTATTAACATGACTCGATACTAAAGGATTTAGCAACTGCAGAGCGATGATCGTGAAGCTATTGTGCACATCTGACTTATTTCTTGAAAGGGATGGGATGCGCGCATAAACCACCGCGCCACCAGCGCCCCCACATCTGACTTATTTTAAGATCAAACAAGATTGGCAATACGTTTTGACCTACTTCCTAGCTTACATCTCTACTTGATAACATTGCAAATACCGCACGTAGCTAACTGTTAAAATGGTGAAAGTGTTGGGTTAGTTGTTGTTTAATGTCATCTAACATTAGCACTCAATAACTTCTTAGCTAAAATTACGATACACAATAGACTACAAATCCCTAACTGCAATCATAGGTAGAAATTGGTGAAATGCTTGTATAAGCTGTTAATGTGTTATATGCAGTTTATCTTTTATTCTTTTATCTCTAAGGTCATGTGGTGAAATATTACAACTGGTCGTATTTCCATCAGTATCTGACTCACTAGCTGTAACACAGCATATGACAAAACAGCATGCAAGTCTCCCATCATGACATCAAAGGAAACTGGCTGTAGTGTGAATATGGAGAATACCAAATAATACTTTTGCAAATGTGATTGTTGATATATGTTTATTACCTGTTCCCTCAGGGGATCCACTGACTGTTGGTTCACGAAGGTAAACATTTTGAAAATGAAACCCACTAAACAGATCTGGAAAGAACTACAATGTGTATCAAAACACATCACCATCAAGAGGACGATAGTTAAAATGTTTCGTACCCATCTATCAGAATGTCCCATTGGGGCAGACTGTGGGGGTTGGGGCTTGTGGTTGTCCAACAGCGTCCAAGAGTCAGGACAAGGTTAGGATCCGTTTTTTCAAGAAGTTGAACCTCCACGTACACAGGGTTCCTCAGTACTTTAGACACAGGATAGTCTGCCTCTGTATAGTAAGAGCTGTAGGCCACATCCGCTGTGACAGCAGGAGTACCAGTTAGTATGACAGCCAACATTGTGAAATTATTGACAAATAACACGAGCAGGCTGAGACATACATACCTTCATAACAACCCTTTGAGTTGCATTGTCCATTTGCTAACCTCAGGTGTACTCTGATAGGTCCAAAAGCCGCAACTGATAGAACAGGATTATCTAATGGTAATACTTGAACAACCAGAGTTTCCACAGAAGTGGCAGTGTACCTACACTGGAAGAGCAACCTGAAAAGGACAACTGGCATTATGTTTTTTGGTCATAACATTGTTTGGACTCAAGAGAAGTTTTGAAAAACGTTTCATGTACTCATAGCGGCTGTCTCTGGTAATGGCCCCCAGAGGCCCAACTCCAACTTCAAATGAGGAAGACATCCTGTTCTCATAGATTATGACCCCAGGCTCCTCCTACAAAAGGTGAAAAAAAAATTACAGTTGAGATAATGAACTCCAAAGTTACTTTATAAAGGTCAAAAAGTCAGGAAAATGACGGTGTTACCATAACAACAGAGCCACAGGCAGTGATAGGAAATTGGTAGATGGCAAAGCCAGAGTTAGAGCCAACATATGTACAGAATTGACCTTCTCCCAACAGTGAAATTGACTCAAGATCGATATTGGGCAGAGTGGCATCTCTCGCCACTACTACAATGAACTGGGCATCCTTGGTACACTGGACAGTCACTGTTGTCATAAAAAACAGGAAATCATAGGTTAGAAGATTAGACATAATTGATCAAACGTAAAGTTAAAAACATTAGGAGGTTGAAAGATTAGTCTTTGAGGGCTATCTTTTCCTTCCGACTGCTATTGACAGTAGAGTTTTCAATTGACCAGTTAAACAAGAATTGTTAAATTGAGATTAACAACACAGTTCAAAAACATACCTGCCTTTCCAAAGTAGCACTTTTGCCCATCAAAGCAGCAGTTTATGGTTTCACAGTGATCAGCAGAGCAGTCAGAAGCTCCACATGGGATTCTCAATCTTTCCTCAACGTCACAGCTCTGGATGACAGGTATCTGTGGCACTGGATTCTGTGGTTGAGGGAACTGTGGGTCTTGGGGGGTTTGATCATATCGATCATATGAACCATGATAGTTATTAATTGGCAGTGCAGCAGGTTGTACTTTAGGATATTGAGGAGTCTTTGGCGGTGAAGGTGGGGCCGGTGGAAATTGAGGATTTTGAGGAGTCTGTGGCGGTGAAGGTGGGGCCGGTGGAAATTGAGGATTTTGAGGAGTCTGTGGCGGTGAAGGTGGGGCCGGTGGAAATTGAGGATTTTGAGGATCCCGAGGAGGTTGAAAGCCCTTTTTCAGCCACGGTAAGACCTGAGCGTCAACTTCAGTCCCAACTAAATACCCAAGCAGTGCTAGAGCCACAAAAGAAGTGGCACTCCAGTGCTTGGCCATGGTTTAACAGCAGTTTGGTCCAGAAAGTTCCCTGGTATATCACTTGTGCTGACAAATTTATATGTGACAAGGTTTGAAAAAAAACCTCTGAGGCCACACAACTACCAATCACAGCTCCCTGTCTTTTCTACAGCCACTCAAAAGCTTCAGGGTATTATTGTGCAATATTTTTTTTTTTTTACATTATCAGGGCAAATGATTCAACATCTCTTTTGATAAAGCTCACAACTCATCAGTTGTGTTGGTAAAAGGAGGGGCTGGAACATGTCTCCTTCCTGATCACTGGTTTGGATGACATTTTGCCTCTTAAGTAAATATTGACATGTAAAACATTTGGGTCACAGTCACTCTTTTAAAGGTCACTATGGCCGTAGATTCTATTTGTAATTAGCTGTGTTTTTGTTTTTTTACCGTGAATTTGTAAGATAAGATGCAATCATTTGCCATCATTAAAAGACACTAAACACCTTAACAAAAGTCAAAACAAAGGGATTTATTACAATTACTTAAACTTAAAGATAACAAAGATCAAATTAGAAAGTAACTTAACAAAAGACAACAGACAATCCCTGACTGAGAGGCACAGCAGTCTCAACTCCAAATGTCTCCTCCAAAATGTTTCTCTTTCTGCAGCCAGCACTGGTCTTTTAAACACTGAGGCCAGGTGTGCCTTGTTGTTCAATTAGTGGCTTCACCTGTGCTGGAGACAACAGGAAGTGGAGAAGGAACACACAGCACAGGGAAACATACAGCCTTAACACTACTCAAAGTGCTTTTACACCACAGGTCACACATACCTATTCATACCCATTCAGGCAGTGGTTGCTATGTGAAGTGGCCATCAGAAGTAACTAACCCCATTCATACACCAACTTGGAAATGTGGCTGCAGGAGCTGGGGATCAAACAGCCAACGTTTCAGTTGAGAGACAACCGACTCTACCAACTTAGCCACAGCCACCCCTAAAAAATTGAACTCAACACCTTTCTAAAAACATTTTCAACAAACATGGCTCATTAAACTCCCCTGAAGGATTGATTTCAGCAGCATTGTCGCGTTAGACTGACTTCACCTGAGCCAGGTGTGTGAAATAAAGTGTAGATAAAGATCTGGACTGAAAGAAATAAGATGACTTGGTTTCATCACCATTATCTAATTTCCTGAAGGTAAAATCTTCAGACATTTAAAATGTGACATGTTTATGTTTAATCTGTTAAAGATGGCCGACAGGAGCAGAGATATTAGCAAGTAGGTCTGATTTGATGTTGGATGCACAGAACCAACTGAAGAAGCTGTACGAGTCCGTCTGAAGATGATGATGAAGGACCGACAGGCAGCTCAACCTCCGTCCCGCATTTCTTTCACGTCTGTTTCCTTTCAGCAAAAGGAAGAGGAGCTTTGTGTCTGTTCATTGACGTTCTCTCTGGTGGAGTTTCAGAGGTTTTCAGAGACGTTTTTTCCTGCTCATCTCTCTCTTATTCTCAGCTTCTCTGGCTCTGACTTCACGTCATTCTCCACCACTGTTAGGCTGAAACTGTCTGTGGGACTGTCAGGCCTCTATAATAGTCTGTCTGTAATAGACAAATAGACAGACAGACTTTGTGTCCGAGCAGCTTCAGTCCATTCACGTCAGTCAAAATTACATTTATAAGACTAAGAAGACTCTTTTAGTCAAAGAATGATGCAGTATCATATAATTATTATAGCTTCGTAGGATACAGCTGAAAAATTGAGGGCTTGTTTTTTCTTATTTTAATAACTGCAAATTGTACATCATTTTGAGACATAATGATTGATTTTTTTGTTTAATGTAATTTATTTTCGTGTCATGAACACAAAGTGCCCGACCCTCATGGGCTCATAAGACTCCAAAGAATTCAGTTGCAGTGGTTCACATTTACAAATCATAACATTACAAAGTTGCCGGCTCCTGTCACAGTTCAGTCTTAAACAATGTGTTCTGTCTTTTTTCCACAGGCTTTACAAACAAAATCTGCTATAACAAAAGTTCCTTTTTTTAAAACACAACTCAAGTTTTTCATAATCGTCTAGCCAAAAGAAATCAACATAAATTGAAGACATTCTTTTAAAAAGAACATCCCTGATGTCAGCGTACATCGGGCAGTAAAACAAAAAGTGAATCTCGTTTTCAGTTTCTCCTAACTCACACAGCAAACAAACTGGGTCTTCCTCTGGCATGGCATTAAACCTGCCGGTCTCTACAGCTAAAGGCAATGTTCCTGAATGTAGCTGAGCGCAGAGGGATCTTTGTCTTTTGGTTAAATTAAACTTAACATATAGGCTTATGACGATAATGTGTTATTTCATTGATAGTTTTACCTAAATAAATCAACTGTAATAATTTGACACAATTCAAAAAGACCCATGACATTTCACTGTTACCAAGAAAATACCACCAACTTGGGAACAAAGCAAATCATAATTTTTGCAATATTAAATGCAGAAATATTATTTTGTCAAATAAACTGGTCGTTCATTTTTAACTTTTATATAATAATATGATCCATTACACACAAGTTGTTTTCTGGTGAAAATTTATCAGCACTATTTTTTAAAGATAATGTGATCAAGTAATACTTTGCTCAGAGGAAACAAGCTTTGCCATCTTGAGACAACTTTATAATTAACTTGCGACCAAGATAATAATATTAAAACAACAAATCTGTTAATACATAACATAAAGTAAAAATTACAATCTTAGCAGAGATTTTAAAAACATTTTACCAATCGTTGAACTGCTTGTCTGACTATTCTTAGCTATTTTTTGTATTGTAAGATATAAGACAGTCTTATCACACATCAGTTGAATGTTTGGGAAAATTAAGATAAACAACATTACATAATAATTATATCTTTATTTATATAGCACTTTTCAATTTTTTCAAAACAATACATATACATTCTAATAGTCAGAGCAGGTCATAACTAGAGCTGGAAGTTATGTATACTAACTATTACCTTACTGCACTTGTATTTCATGACATGTACTTAACAGAGTGTAAATAGTTACTTCATAGACTAATATTATAACTAATCTTAATATGATTAGCTTGTGAATATGCATTTTCGAGGTTTCAATTACAAACAGCTCAGACGTGATTTTTTTCCGTTACAAAACCTCAAAACAAGTCTTCTTATAAATACTTGTTTTTCCTTTTTCAATTAAAACAGTTTTATCTTTCAATGCTCTTGACAGATCTCTACCACTGTACAAGATCAAAATGTAATGAATGTCCTATATGTTCTGACTAATATTAAACTTTGTATTACTAGCCTACACTTTGTGTTTTTTGACACATACTGTGCTTATACCAAGGGGAGATGGCATCATTATTGCGTTAAGAAATTACATTCTAAGTATTGTCTTCTCGTGCAAGGTAAAAAAATCTGGTCAAACCGACCCTTGCAATTTGCATACAGTGAATATTCAAACAATAAAATAAATGATTCTTCTTTTTTTTTTCATCTTTTATTGTTTCGGACACATCATTATGATCACAGTTAAGTAAAAAATGCAATTTAATCAAATGCATGTAAAACAGTTTTTTGTTTCTCCTTTGGCTTTAAAAAACGGTATCCTTTTCAATGTTATCAAACACAGTTTACGCAGTGTTAATAACCCTGTATATCAAAGATAAAGTATTTCTTCACGGTTCAACTCACTCCAGTTAATTCCAATCAAATACTGATACTAATACTAATACATAGATTTTCAGAAAATAAAAATGCCATTGTACCAACATTTTTTTCTGAGACTGTGTCAGACACGAGTTGATTTAACTATCATAATTTTTGAAGCTGTATTTAGTTGTGCTATTTTGCATAAATTAATTGAACTCAGAAATGTTTTTTATGTTTTT